AAGCGGGTCTGGCCTAGGGAGAATTTTTAAATAGGGACAATTTTAATTTAAATCTTAATTAATTATACAGCGAAAAAAATATTTGGTTTTTAATAGGTTTTTATGGGGGGACGATGTTTTATGTGTTTTAATATGCTGTAAGCCGCCCTGAGTCCTATAGGGAGAAGGGCGGCATATAAATCCATGTAAATAAAATAAATAAATAAAATAAAATATGCTTAAATAAGAGAAATTATGGATGCCCGAATTGTAAATAATATTTTTGTTTAAGGCTAAGTTAGATATGGTATTTGGAAATTAATAAACTTAAAAACAGGGTTTGATTTACATCGATGAAAGGTTGCTGATAATTTCTATTGATTAATTGAATTCTTATTTAGGAATGTATTAATGAATTAATTTTACCTAGAAATGTATTAGTTTGACTATACTATTCTAATTGTTAGAGAGGGAAATTTTAAGGAGCATTATTTGAGCTATATATGTATGATGTTATTGTATCTAACTGATTACCCTATCTCCACGTTGTTTCTTAAGCGTTCTGGTGTAAAAAGGGAAAAATCAATAAAAATTGCTTGAAAAAAAAAAGAATTATTTAGAATAGAATAGATCTGGAAGGGATCTTGGAGGTCTTCTAGTCCAGCCCCCTGCTCAAGCAGGAGAACCTACACCGTTTCAGACAGGTGAATGTCTGGTCCAGGGGTAGGCAACCTTGGCTCTTTTATGACTCGTGGACTTCAACTCCCAGAATTCCTGAGTCAGCCATGATCTAGTCTCTTCTTAAAAATCTCCAATGATGGAGTGCCCATGATTCTCTCAGTGCAGAATTTCAAGGACCCAAGCTGGGGATTTGTCATTGTGTAGAGAGTCCTTGGTGCTCTCTGACCTTGGTGGTTGGCTTGCAGACATGATGGACTGATGATGTTATCTAGTTGGGTAATGAAACTGCACCCAAACAACCAAACTCAGAGAACGCCAAGGACGCCACAGTTCAACCCTCGGCTGCAGAGATTCTTCTCTATTACACTGCAATTCTTCCTGCCCCAGTACGGTACATCTCCTACTAATTCAAGAAGTCTGCTTGGTGTAATCAACCCACTTTTGCTGGGTGAGATGGCGCTTACATCAACTGATGGATTGAGGCCCAAAGAAACCCTCACCTCTGCAGGGTGCCACAGCTATCATTTCCATTTCCTCCTGGAGTCCATGGACCTCAAGACTGCACCCCCAGGAAATGTCTGGGCTAATATCAACCACCAAGTTCAACTTTCCCATTTGAGAGACTGGAAGGAGAAACAGTTTTACAGCCCCGGAAAGCATCTAACTATCTTAATCCTTCGCTCATGGCAGAGAGTGATAAGGATAGTCAGTTATTGCAGACCAGGCTGAAAGCACACCGCAGAGCGGCAAAGGTGTCCAAAGGAAGGTATGGCAGTTACCGGATATATTGGTGGATAAGCCCATCCAGAGAAGCCAA